AATATCACGCCCAATGCACGACCACATGCGCTGGTTGTTTAATCTGCACTGTGAGCTCGAGTGAAGGTAGCCATTGCAGATTCGTGTCAGTGAAAATCCAAAAGCTGCACAGGATAAGCTAGAAAGATTTTATATGTGCTTGATGATACCAACTGACTTCGGTAGCGCACTGTACTAAAATCCTCGTTGGCTGCATTGAAAGTGTGTTTAGAAAGCATTCATCAAACCAGCTCCTTTGCTACTGGTGGTTGTGTAGGCGTGGAAAACCACCAGCGCTTAAGTATCGCCTTCCATCGTGAGATAGTAATCCAGTGCTTTGCTAGGTCAACATCATCAGGACGTTGGCATACAGTCAACGACTTTAGCGCTGTAAGCTCGATAATTTCTCCACATGTGCTGCAGTAAGTCTAAATAAGCAAAATGTGCATATTTATGCATGAAATGAAGTGAGGTTTTTAAGGTATTGCAACGACACTATTGCGAGAGCACTTTCTTAAACTTGGAGCCGAAACGTACATCACAGTGAAGGAAGAAAAGTCCGAATGTGACATCACGACTAGTAGGGTCTTAAAATAACTCTCGTTGATAGGTGGTGGTGGTGTACTTCGAGAGCAGGCCCAAACTTTGGCGAAACTCTTTAGATCGAAGTCAGCAGGAGACAATTTTAGGAAGCGCGTGTGGCCGGGATGCGGGATGGTGGGTTTCCCATCCCCTTCCCCATTCCTTCTATCTTAGTGCAATTTTTGGGAGATGTATCAAGTATACCAGCTCGTATCATGTTTGCACCATATGTAGATGCCTGAATGCCCTTAAGTTGCTTATATATTTCTCACAAACGTTAAGTGCCATCTCATTCCTGCATGGCAAATTACATGAGGCGTTCCTGCCGTGTGTTTAATCCTATAACTGCACAAAACGTCGAGCGAAGCTGACTGCTCAGGAGAACATGTTGCCTAGCACTGCAGCGTAAATGATTGCAGCAAAGATGATCAAATATGTGATGGAGGTGTAGCACAGGGTAGATGCGGTATTCTACTGGGTCATCTTTTATCACTTGTGACATGCAATGTAAACACTAATTGCAACCGCTTTGGAGGCATATTTTTCACAAGCATAAGCCGAAGTTGTGCGTCTCATATCGACACATCAGCAGTTCCAAAGTTCCGTAGCAGGTCACAAAATGTGGTGACGGCTGCTGTACATGGTAGATCCCAAGCGAGATTCTATGCAGGATTTGCACAGCTAGCCTACGCCTTCTTAAGGCTCGTCAGCTGATAACCATCGCGGTTGCAATCTTTGCAATGGGAGTTGACACAAAAAGGCTAGACTGTCTCTTGTCGTTCCGTCAAAGTATTGGTCGCCCTAACAGGCTCATGCTCTTTGCCAACCCGGCACAATGGCAGCTGCGATGTGGAGAGAATTTGGGTGAATTTCGTCATGCTCCAGCTCTGGCCCGCAAATCAATTTTAAACTCTTCGATTAGACGCCCACGTACCACGGCAAATGCAGATCTTCGAAGCTTGTTTCGAGCGACCTTTGGCGAAGATGACTTCACCGATCGAGACTTTGTACACAGAAGTGAGGACCGTGTTTGGTGCAATTCAAGTAATTCGGTCGATGCAACACTTATTCTGTCCATCTCGCATCCTGCGGCATCACTACTTTCCTTTGATGCGACTGAAAAGCACCATCAACATAATCAACATTGCGCCTTCTTCCCTTCCAACTATACATCACAAATAATTCGCCTCCTATCATTACGCCCCTTACGCACACACACACACTGCTATTGACGTATCAACATATCCGACACGTCAAATTCTTCTCTACACGTTTCCCTTCAATGAATCGGCAAGTGTATCACGTTTGTGCCAAGCAGACCTACTTGTTGCGACTGACTCCTTCCTTGTCCTATTTACCACTGCACTAAATGGAGTAAAAGGCTTCAAAATGACTAAAACCAATGGATACACTCTGACCACCCCATTCAACGTCCTCATTAATGGTAAGTCTAATTAAGGATCAGAAGGAAAACACACCATTCCTTTATCTCACCGCACGAAACTTGATGATCCTCGCATCCATATTTAATCACAGGTCTGCCTTCCTACTTATTGCAAATTAGTAGATTTCCTTCCTCCTACCCACGGCATCCAGCTACTACTGCCCACAAATCACCAACCTCCGAAGCTCCATCAAGGTCATGCTGCTAGTGTCAAGTAAGATGGCCACTCCGCCCGTACTAAAGCGAAGAAGACGCTGTCAATTAGAATAGAAGTGTATTTCATGATATCAAAAGGTAAAGCAAAAGTAAAAGGGAAGTCAAGACTACTGCGGCAGAGTAGCTGCCACAAGACTGCATATATGGATGTAGATGCGGAAGAAGAGATAAATGAGTGGGGAAGGGGAGAAAGAAGAGGTCGCCAGAAAAACCAGCTACGAAGGTGATGGCCTTCCTGCGTTTCGTCAGTTTCATTCCACCATATTGACCAGCAGTGCATCCATCGTGAGCAACGAGGGAGGCAGAACAGTTGGAGGAAAGGAGCCGTGGCAAACTGTCAAATAGTCGAAATCGCCAACCAATGCGGATGAAGGAGAGCGAGCCGACCCGAGCCGAGCGGAGCAGAGTGGAGCCGAGGCGAGGCAAGAGGAGGAGAGGGCGAAGAAGCGGAGGCGGAAGGTGACGTCGCATTGCAGCACTCGTCTTTGTAAATGCAGCCCATAATCTTCCCTGTGTAACCTACAGTCAAGCTCTGCGGAAGAAAATAGACCGTTCTCTTTCTCCTGAGACGCAAATTACACATGATTGAAGAAAGTAAAGAGGACATGTAGCCTGACATTTATGCGGCTGTGACAAAAGGCCTTAGCCTTGCATTTCCAGAGACCTTAATTGTAGTCTCTAATCACAAGAGTCAATGCAACATCTGTTGCGTGTTTTCTGCAAATCAAGCCCATATTATCAGCCTCTGCAGGAAGGGTGGTTAGTCGCCGACTGCTTTTGCCCACCTTATGCATGATTTTCACCAAGTATTTCGGTTGAAGCTGCTCAAGGAGGCATTGTGGAGATATTTTGCGATTGTCAAGACGAATCAAGAGTCCAGTCCTCTGACATGGATATGTTGGTTGACAACCGCATTATGTCAAGTTCTGTGCCCGTTCCACCATCCAAAACCACGCGAACAGGCCGGCTAGCGCTTGGTACGTGAGGCAGAGACGTGTGGATGCTGACGAAGAGGAGAGAAGTACAGACAGCGGTGCATCTAGCCTATTGCGTTGTCGTGCCCGTGGAGCATAAAGGACAAATAATTCGAATTGTTGTGCTACTGATGTCAGTTGGAATAGAAATTTCATACAGCAACCGCACCTAGAGATCCTTAGCGTTAATTCATCTATCAATACGATTTGCGCTCAGATGTCAAAATTGATGGGACCGTAGTTGAACATCAGAAAGTAACGGAATCTAATGTGGACAAAATAAGGATGACTAGTGGAAACCGAACAAGTGGACATGCAAGCAAAGAACGTGGAATGCATAAAGAACACTAAACACGAGTCGAAAACAAACGGTG